AGAGTAAGCACCAAAAAAATCAATAATTATTCTATCATTATTCTTTACCACATATATACCCTTTATAGAAACTTTAATTATCTCATATGTGTGTATATATATATATATACTAAGTCATATAAAGTAGGAGCGGGAGCGAGAGTAAATTTGAGAGCGGGAGAATTAAATAGTTAAAATTTGAACCGGAGTGAGAAAGTGAGAGCAATACCCATTAAGAAGAATCTTGTGATTTAGTATACACGTGTATGTGCTAAAACCATGGCACCTAGGTTAAAGAGAAGGGCAATTGAAAAAACAAGAAATTATTATAGAAATTAAGCCACTTAATTGCAAGAATATGGCTATATATGTCAGGTGCAATGCTTCAAACACCGTACCTGGATGACTATAATGGGGAAGAGTGACATGACTTCAAATTCAAACCGTTTAACTGAATATAACCGTTGCCCGTTGGGATATGTTTTGCTAATTAATTTATAAATTAAATCATTAATTTAATGAAGTCGCCCGCATTCAAGCTCAACCATTTGATTAGATTAATCACCACCACATCAAACTAATAACGATTTAAACATGTTCTCTAACCATGTGATTAACCAAAAAAAAAATGGGGATTTGGGATCCCAAAACTCAACAATTAATCGATGTCGATATTCTCCCATTTCTATTTGATGTCAGATGTAGTGCAACATATTAGATTATGTTTTTGGTTTCATTACGACGAAGAGTAATATAAAATTCAGAATGATAACCCACAGTCATAGTACATGAGCTAGGTTGTATACTACTCGTATAATCCGGGTATTTTAAACACATGCTCATTTATTTTGAAAACACTTCACTTTCTATTATCAAATAAATGTTGAGAGAGTACCACGTGAGAAATATCATTGAATATTATATACTTTCTCCTCAATATATAGCTATAAATTTAGAGTTATATCACAAATGGAAAAAAATGTAAAATACCCTTCAAAAATTTCGAATTAAGAACCCGAAAGATTATATTTATTGAGAATATTTCCCTTCTTTGTGTGTGTGTGTGTGTTTTTTTTTTTTTTTGCCTATTCCTTTTCCCTTTTATTCATTGTGATCCATCTTTCACCTTAAAATAGAATTAAAGAAGGGTGAGATATACTCTCTCTCTCTATCTCGATCTCTCTGAATATATATATATATATATATATATATATATTGAGCATTAATTGTATATGAGTACTGTCCAAATGGAAGTGGATCCAATGGTTTGAAATCAAAATTGCCATAGAACGTGCTTTAGAACCGTAGATTTGTGAAGGAATACAGTTGCAGTCATTCATTGTGATGTTGTTTTAGTGGTTGACTGGCCCTCCTAGTGTTATTGAGTTTGTATTATGTATATATATATATAAATATCTTGATAATAAATGGGACTGAGAATTAATGGATGGGACTGGATGGAACCTCTTAGAATCTTTAGGACCCCTAGCAATCATAATTGAGCCAAGCTCCACATTTAACTACAATTTCAACCGACTCAGATTGCCATGCAATAAAATTTCACAGCCTGCACTAGCACACAGGCTTTCCCATCATCCTTCTTACTAACAGAGTGATGCTTATGCAACCAGGGTGGAAAGCATTATATATATATATATAGAGAGAGAGAGAGAGATCTCTCCTTATAGCTGTCATAGTTGCAATTGCACCACCAATCTCACTATAGTTAACTTTCTGCTAAGGAAAAAAATAAACTTGTCTATGGATTTTTGTTACCAACTAATGTGGCGATCATTGACAGAAGCACTTTAAGAATTGAAAGAGTGCATCAAAAACCAATCCTCTCCTATTACGTACTAATAAAGTTGGCATGAGGAGTGCTAACGATAATCGTAAGATACTCACCTCACTGAAAAAATTGTGAACTTGTGATTGGTTGAAAAATCAATCATAACAATTTATTGTAATTGATTTTTAACTAATCACCGTTGCTAGCACTCCTCAAGTTGGCATTTGGGCTAGCTACAAGTCTATATGAACTCATAAAGATCAACCACAGAAATAAAGTAATGGGCAAAAGCTAGCCCAAGGTTACTTATTATTTTTTTTAAAAAGTATATATATATATCCTAAGAGTAGAAGGCCTTCCTTTAACTAAAAAAAAAAAAAACAAAAGTTGAAGGCCTCCATAAGATCTCCTACCTAAATATGGAGCATTGCAAGGCTGGCCTAAGGCGAGAGAACAAAAACGCATATTCCTTTCACATTGTGCATGATATATATATATATGGCTAATTAAGCATTTTTATATATATATATATATATATATATTTCTATCTCATATAGGCATATCTCCCCTTTTGTTATGTTTCATTTGTAGGTTTGCTTTTAAAAAATGGCTAGGGATGGCCTGCGCAAAGTTGGAATGATCATGACACTATTCATTCCAAAACCCTTTTAACTACTATATGACACATATACGAATTATAAAGTCACACACACACACACACACACACACACACACATATATATATATAACCTTAGAAACGCCAAACTGATCATGGTTTTCAATCTTTACATGAAAAGGAGAGACTCCATTAAACCAAAGTCTCTGCACATGCTTCCCTCCACTCCCATGATAATTCTCACTCAATAACACTAAGTGGGTTGGTGGGGTGCACCCATCATTTTTCCAACTCAAAACTCTCCATGCAACAAAGTAAGTTATGGACTCTCTCACTAAACTATATAGCTAGCTACCATGCAATTCTGAGCCAACCCTATATATATATATATATATATATATATATATATATATATATATAGGTTATACTTTCTAGTCACCACCATAATAGATTTTTAATAATTAAAGCTCTAAAACATGCTTTGCTTCGCAGTCACGGAAACGTGTTGAAATGGGCACTATAATATGTGAATGTAAGACTGATTAATATGAATAAAAAAAAATAATAATAATAAAAAATAAAAAATAAAATAGAAATTTGAAAGGTTTAGGGTTGCACTGAATTGTATAGCACATTTTGCCGCAAACTAATGCTATGTTTAGGAGCATAAAATCGGTTCCTTAGATTTGAAATTTAAAAAATAATTGACTCCGATTCTTTACTCCTAAACGTAGCATAATTGTATTTGTAATATATATTTTCTATTAGGGAGGTTCTTATTAGATTGTCGATCGACCTCTTCATCAAGTGAGCCGAGAAATTGAACCCATCTGGCCTAGGCTACGTTTGTTACAAGATTAAGTGTTAAAGTTATATCATCTCCAACAGTTTAGAGTTCTTAAGATAAATGGTGATTAACGTGGTCGATCTGAGAGCAATATATACTCACCCTTGTATTAAAACTTTGTAAATCTTGTTTTGAAACAAAAACGTACATGTTATGGTTCAAATCTAAGTCACATAAAGCAGGAGTGAGAGTGAGAGCGAATTTGAAAGTGAGAGTGTGAGAGCAACAAAATTAAGTCATAAATAGTGAAAATTTGAGTCAGAGCGCGCTCGGAACATAAGAGCAGAAGCGCACTTAGAACGTAAGAACGACATCCGTTGAGAAGAATTGCGTTACTTAAATTTAAACTCTACTATTCTGTCTCCCAAATTTAATTCATAGCACTAGTTTATCAATTTTGTGCTAGATTTCTATAATCAAATTAGTGATATTAAAAGGATACATCATATTGGTTTTTTTTTTTTTTTCCTAATTAATAAATTAAGGGTACAGGGTGCCTGAGTGACACAAAATAGGTTAGGTAATAAAGGAGGTGCTACAAATTATAAGCTAGTAAACCCTACTTAGGTGAAGCTATATATAGTACTGTGAAATTAAGTTATGAAAGAAAAGTAATTGGTGTGGGAATTAATAATTAAGTGGGATATTTTCTTTCATTCTTTCTTTTGTTTATTTGGGAAGAAGGAAAAGCAGCGTGGAAGTTACTAAACAATTCTGTGGAAAATTGTGGGGGATCATTTTATATTTGCCCCACCTAAACTATGGGTTGTCAAGAATGGGCTTTGTGGGCCTAAACAGCCTCCAATCACATTTCCAATGCTTGGAGGCTTGTGGGGGTCCAGTAATATGGGGCTAAAGTTAACCCAACGGTGCAACTTGGATCCATTCACTCCACGTGGGCTCGTTGAGTCTATCCCAGTCAGCTCTCTTTCCCTGCCAGCTAAGCTTCTAATTATTTATCTATATTTTTTATTCCAGATATTTATAGCTTCCAATGGGCTTTTAAAGCCCATTTGTGGGCCCACAAAATCAGATGAGGATGATGAATTGATGCGTCACTTTCACATTGTTCCCTAATTCTCCCCTTAACTCTCTTGTTTGACTATGATTAGTAAAATTCCAAAACACACATATAAATATATAACCTCATATGTCTCAGTCTCAATGATAATGAATTTATCTTCTAGAAAAGCTCAATAATTCCATTAAAATTGACTCAAAATTTCTTGGATTTTCTTACCCTTTCTCTCTCTCATATATATATATATATATATATATAGAATTCACGGTTTAATAATTATTCCATTTCTCATGTTATTATAACACCTTAGTCATAGATTATAAATTCGAAATCGAAAATTACTTCTTTACAAAAACTGTATAATTATGTATAAATAATCTTTTCAAATGCCATAATATCGAAAGTCTCTTGCACTAAATTAGTTTTAGTTCTTATAAGGCAACTCAACTTAAATTATTTTGTGTCATATACATGTATTACTGCTTTCGATGTGCCATCTTCATTGTATTACTTATTTTGTACACTACAATAATTTCATATAAATTCTAAAAAGTCTAAACATAAATAAATTAAATAATGATTAAATACACCATAAAATAATAAAAATGCAGCCTTTGGGCTTATGATTTGAGAAAGACCCTTCAAGACCCATTAACTTCCCACTCACATCACGTGCACCTCTCATGCCCCCACCCCCCTATTTAACCCCCCTTCAACCCCCTCCTCTCCCTCCAAACACAAACTCCATTGTCTTCTCTCACCAAGTACATTTCAAACCTCAACACCTAGTCTCTCTCTCTTTCTCTCTCTCTATACATACACATATATATCTGTATATACTCTCTCTTTGGTCTTCCACCTGAGCTCAAAACCTATTCTCTCTCTCAAACCCTTCTGCAATATCTCACTCTCGAGCTGAAAATGTCAAGTGTTTCTGATCGAGAAGGCTTCTTTGCCCGGCGGTGTGTTTGGGTGAACGGTCCGGTGGTGGTCGGAGCCGGGCCATCCGGGCTAGCCGTAGGAGCTTGTTTGAGAGAACAAGGTGTACCCTTTGTAGTCCTCGAAAGAGCTGATTGTATAGCATCTTTGTGGCAAAAGAGAACCTATGATCGCCTAAAGCTTCACCTCCCAAAGCAATTCTGCCAACTACCCAATTTCCCATTCCCCAAACACTTCCCAGAATACCCAACAAAGAATCAATTCATAGACTATCTTGAATCGTATGCAAACCACTTTGAGATCAACCCACAATTCAATCAATGTGTTCAGTCAGCCAAGTACGACGAGGCTTGTCGTCTGTGGCGTGTCAGGACCGTCTCCATGGATGGTTTGGTCCGGTCTGAGGTCGAGTACATTTGCCAGTGGCTTGTGGTGGCCACCGGCGAGAATGCAGAGCGCGTGGTGCCGGAGATCGAAGGGATGGAGGAGTTTGAAGGTGAAGTCGTGCACGCTTGCGACTACAAGTCCGGTGACCAGTTCTCCGGGAAGAGAGTTCTTGTTGTCGGCTGTGGTAATTCGGGCATGGAGGTCTCTCTTGATCTTATTAACCACAATGCCAAGCCATCAATGGTGGTTCGGAGCTCGGTGAGTTTCATTTCTCTGTTAGGGATAATATTATAGGTGTGTGCGCATTTTCTTGAAATAACAGGGTACACTCTGTTTTTTGATCTACAGGTTCATGTACTACCTAGAGAAATCTTTGGGAAATCGACGTTTGAATTGGCGGTTATGATGATGAAGTGGTTGCCCCTTTGGCTGGTGGACAAGATCATGTTGATTCTGGCATGGTTAATTCTCGGAAACATAGAGAAATATGGGCTAAAACGGCCATCTGTTGGTCCATTGGAGCTCAAGAACACGAAAGGGAAGACCCCTGTTCTTGACATTGGCGCGTTGGAGAAGATCAAGTCCGGTGAAATTGAGGTTGTTCCGGGGATCAAGAGGTTCACTCGCGGTATGGTTGAGCTTGTTAGTGGCGAAACACTTGAAATTGATTCGGTTGTTTTTGCCACCGGGTACTGCAGCAATGTCCCCTTTTGGCTACAGGTGAGAACATGTTCCAAGTCCCCTGTTCTTTCATTTTCTTTTTCTATGACAGTTTTGACAGTTGAGATTTAAAATTTTAAAATATATATATATATATATATATATATATATATATATATATATAAATTCTTTGATTGATATTTTGATTTTTTAGAACATATGATGTGTTTGGATAAATGGGCTAATCTTTTTTTTGATTGATTATGTGTAGGAAAGTGAATTCTTCAAGGATGGTTTCCCAAAGGCATCATTCCCAAATGGGTGGAAAGGAAAGGCTGGGCTCTATGCTGTGGGGTTCACAAGAAGAGGGCTCTCTGGTGCATCATTAGATGCCATGAGAATAGCACAAGACATTGGGAAGGTGTGGAAAGAGGATTTAAATCAGAAAAACCGAAAAGTCCCTTCTCATCGACGCTGCATTTCTCGGTTCTGATCGCGTTTTTCCTTCCCTTTTGGTTCTTTGTTACATGGTGTAAAGATAAAGAATCGTAGAAACACACAGAAAGAATAGCATAGACACCAGCCCTCTCCAAAAAGCCCAAGTTTTGAGAGTTTTTGGGCATTTTGTATTCTGAGGATGATGAGGCTTCCTTTTTTACTTCTTCCCTTTTTTTATTTTTCTTTTTTGAAGTTTTATATGGTTTTTGTACAATTCAGTGATCAATTATAATGAAAAAGACCTTAAATTGTTTTTCAGTTCGTCACTCTCTTTCAACCCTTTTCTCTATAACTTTTTTTACCGTTTTCGTATATATTCGACAGTGTCAGGCCACCTCATAATCCATCATCGGACGCATATAGTTCCCTACCCCACATGCACTAAACAATTATCGAAAAAATTCATCGGGTAAGGTATAGTTTTGGTGAATGGTAGACTTAGAAGTGTGATCAAGTTATACGAGAGAATGTCCTTTCATGTCCAATTGTTTTCAAGTTCTACATCAAACAGTTATCAAGTTTTTATTCCAACTAATGATCAACGAATTTCAAAGGGAATGTCCTTTATGTCCAATTGTTTTCAAGCCTCTAATAAATCAAAGAGTTATCAAGTTTATGATTGCAGCTAGTGGGACAACTTAGATGATCTCAGTGTGTTGAGGCATTAATGAAACTGCTAAATTGCTAATACACATCATTTTCATCATCTGTGAAAGTTGAAACTGGTGCAACTTGTGGATGGTATTTCATCCTACATTATTTTCCTCCCACACCAATCAATTTTTTTTGAGTTATGGCCCACTGATTCAGTATCTTTGATCATCAACTTGCCGATCCACATCCGTCGGCAGATGGGTAGGGTCCTTCAAGGGCAATAAACCACAGCTCCACCATGTCCACCAGTGCCACTTTCTTCCTCTCTCTTCTTAGGATATTCATACAATATTTATTTATTTATTTTTCTCCTGACAAATTAAGAAAGCGACTTTCGAATATAGACACGCTCGCTCAAAGTTAAACTCTAGGATGAGTTCCAATTAAATAAAAGACTTGTCTAAAAGTCTCTGTTGCCTAGCATATAGATGTAACCACTGGCTCTCATTGAAGGTCATGATCAAATATTTCCTGTAAAGAACAAATTGAAGCTCATATAATGTTAAAAAAGAAGCTCAAAGTTAAACTCTAGGATGAGTTCCAATTAAATAAAAGACTTGTCTAAAAGTCTCTGTTGCCTAGCACATAGATGTAACCACCGGCTCTCATTGAAAGTCATAGTCAAATATTCCCTGTAAAGAACAAATTGGAACTCATATACTGTTCAAAAAGAACTTGAAGACTTCTAAATATGTAACGTGGACTATGTGACAATGATCTGTTTTAATGTCATTTTTAAAGTCCTAGTCAGAATGCAAAAAAGTTGATAACAATGGCTTCGCCCGGGTTCGAACCGGAGACCTTCAGTGTGTTAGACTGACGTGATAACCAACTACACCACGAAACCATGTTGTTCTTTAGTGGTTACGATATTATATTATCGGTGAATAGTCACTATTGTAGGGATTAGCTATTTGTTTTTATTTTTTAATATTTTTGTTGTTGACATTCATATCTTTGCCACATTTTTGGATCAGAAAAGAAGAGAGTAAATTAAAAAATTATTTTTACAACAAAATAGTAAGAGTAGTTATTTTGAGGAATTTCACCGAAACAAGAAATATGTTTTATGGCCCGTTTGACATGCGCTTTATTTTTGCCTAAAACAAAAATAATATTTTTGCTATAGAAATGTTTTGAAAAAAAATCGGAAGCACGGTTTGGGAATAATGTTTTATTATGAAAATGGATGAAATGTTTAGGGTCTGTGTTGCATTACTGTTATGGTTTTGGGTCATGAACAGTTGTTAAAAAAAAAAAAAAAAAAATTTACTTTTTGGTGTTTTGGTTTGGGCCACTGTTCACGAAGTGTTTTAGCACTATATAAAATAAAATAAGACCGCACCAAATATGTTTTTATTATCAACACTATAGCAGTCGAAAAATAAAAACAGTAAAGATAAAACGCATGTCAAACAGAACCTTAAGGTTTAAATTAATTCATTATTAAATTATGGTCTCGAATTTTTTTATGTGTGGACTAGATAATAGATGGTGTCTATTAGCCACGATAGAACCGAATGGTTGGTCAGAAAGAATATGCTCGTTAGTATGTCCATAACATAGGGGAGGATTTTGTTAGTTAACTCAATTTGAGGTCAGATTGAAAACTTTCAAATAAGAATAGTTTGTCTAAATTCGTCCAAACATCAAATTGGACTAGGGTTCAAGTTGGCCTAAGTTGTCCTTATCTCTATCACAAAGGAGTGGTTATATATGCGCTCAATTTGAGGTCAGATTGAAAACTTTCAAGTAAATAAAATTGTCTAAATTCGTCCAAAAATCGAATTGAAATTGGGTTCAAGTTGGCCTAAGTTGCATGCTTATCTCTCTATCACAAAATAATTGTTCATTTATTAAAAATAAAATTGAAAATTGACTTTTAAAGAAGACAAAGCATTAAATAGTTTATATATATTTTCATTAGTTTATTTATTGAAATCAAACACAGGTTATAGATTTTGTTATGTAAAATAGTGGGCCTAAAAGAATCTCACCCAACATGCCTCTACAACCCATACTTTAGTCTGGCTGGGCCTTTCTAGTAGGGCAGGATATTGGGCCGATGACCTCGGCCTAGTGTGTTTTCTTCACCATTTTCTTCTTTCGGAAAGGGCAAAAACAAAAAGAGTAAGAATGTCAATTTAACTGTTTTTGTTCGGTTCTAATGCAACTAGTTCAGATATATTCTTATCGAGTTAATAAGAATTAGAGACGAGTTCGAGTGGATTGTGAAAAACTTAAACACAATACGATTATTAATAAAATATTATATGAAAATATATTTTAGCATCTCACAAAGGGAAATGAATGACTCGAATTATTTTTCGTGCACGGTATTAAATTGAGGATGTAAGATAACAAATTAATGAACACCCGCTTACATGAAGGGCGGGTGTCCTCTACAAGCTGCCCTCCGAAATGTTGTGTAACCTGATGTATATATTTACACAATATTTATATAACATGTTATATCGACATACAATATTTCAATACCATATATATATATATATATATATATATTTTATTGACAAAAAAAAAAAAAAAGAAAAAAAAAGAAAAAAAAAGAAAAAAACTCACGCTCCCATTTATCATATGAAATTCGAACCCTTATTATCTCTTCGAGTGGTAAAGTAGATTGGCTTAAAGCCAATACCATTAAAATAAGAATTCAACATTTCTTTTTATACTCACTTGGTGTGCAGGAATGGAATGTCTATTCCTACCATTCATTTGTGTGACATGCAAATATAAAGTGAAAATGACCATTCCATTAAAAGAAAAACCATGAGAATGAAAATTTATTCTATAACTAAACTTATGAAATTGTCATTCCATTCTCAAGTGAATTTTTTTTTAAAAAAAATCAAATTCCTAAAAACCATCATGTTCCAAATCCAAAAACTATCATCACCATTGTCACCGCTTCCCAGGACGGCTTTGGATCACCGACTCCATTACCTTTCACCACTATCACTGTTGTCACTACCATTATTACTACCAACCCTACAACAACTTTTTATCTCTACCACAATCGTCACTGCCATCTACCACACCTTCATTTCTTTTAAAAAATTATATTAATTTTTTTGTCACTAAAAAGAGTAGGTGAGTATTTTGAAAATTTCATTTTGAAACTCATTGTATTGGAAATTTTTAATTAGTCCAAGTACATATTATCATTCTATTCTTGTATCTTACACGTTTTCTACTTGCAACCAAAGGAACGAGTATTATCTAATAGACATTATAGACTACTAATACTGAAGGAATAATGGTAGTGCTATAAAAATGGATCCAAACTATTTAGTAGTATCATTTTGGTTTCTGAAACAAACCTTCAAAACCCAAGAAAGACGAAAAAAGGAGGGTACAACCACCGTACACCAGAAAAAGGGGAAGAGAGATAAGTCAATGGCGAGCACGTCTGTTATGACAGGAGCTTTTGGCTCTGTTTCCCTCACTCCTTCTCCTCTTCATGCCAATTCTCTCTCTTCTCTCTCTCACCTTCCCAACAGTTTTATCTTTTCAAACAACAATCTCATATTCATCAGAAGCTCAAGGTTAGCCGTCCATGGCCCAAGAAAACTTGGACCCACCAGGATTCGACCAATGTCCGCTTCGTTCGGGTCTCGATTGGAGGACAGTGTGAAGAAGACAATCAATGATAACCCAGTCGTTGTTTACTCCAAAACATGGTGTTCGTGAGTACCAATCTACTTATTCACATCCCTTTACTGTGCTATTGGTGTAATTCTTGAATTCTTGCCTCATTTGATTGATAATTTTGGCGATTTGATGAATTGTGTTATGAATTGTTCGATTTTTGTGAAAAATTTCAAATGGGTTTCTTGGTTCTGGTGAAGGTATTCCTCTGAGGTGAAGACATTGTTCAACCGGCTTGGAGTGCAGCCACTCATAGTCGAATTGGACCAGTTGGGTACGTATGCTTCCTTCTATTAAGCTCACATATTCAGGACACAAATGTGTTTGTGTGTATATATTTATGGAAAAGGAAAAAAGAAAAAAAAAAGAAAAGTATTTATGCAACTGTTCAGTCATTTGAATTATTAATGTTCCATTTAATTCAAGAGTAATTGCATTGTAGTGGGTAGTCAATAATAGCTATATTTGGGCTTGATGTAACCTTGGTCACATAGTTCACAAAATGTGATTGACTGCAATCAAACTGAATTGCTGTTAAATTCATATGTGGAGAGGTTGGGGAAAGCTGCAACTTGGCTGGGTTAGGTTACAATGTGTTGAAGTATATCACGAGTCTTATGCTTGTGTTGAATAAAACCCCAAATGCTTGTGTTGACTAAAACCCCAGTAGGGGTTAAGGTTTATTGCTTATATCATATTGGGTTGAGTTGGGTTAGTTTGCTTCTTCAACTAATGGTCTAATTGATTCATTGGAATGATTGAAAACAACTTTTGGGGGAAGTAGATGAATGACAATAAGTTACAAGTGAGATCTTACATAATACATTTATTAGGTAACTCCAAGGGTCTAGCCTAATGGCAAAGCTCTCACCTCAGATCTTGGAGGTCGAGAGTTTGGACCCCCTTGGGGCCACCTCCAAGATTTTTTCTGGTAATTGCCTAGTGCGTGTGGGACCGGGGTTTGGTCACGACTTGAGATCCTCTAAGATCGAATTGGACCAAACCGAACCGTTAAGTTATATATAAAATTATATATATAATATAATATAATTCTACAATGGTTGAATGTTATCGGTTTTTTGAATTGTGGTGTTTGTTGTTTTCAATTAGTAGTTCGAAATGTATTAGGCTATTACCAGTTCTGAAGATGTTCACTAATTCATTTTAGTTCCAGAAGTGCAGAAAAGAATGAATGTATTAACTTTTGTTCTAGAAGTGAATGTATTAGTAGTTCTGAATGTGTTGGTTAACTTGGTTTATTATCGTGCATTTGGATTTTGAAATATGAATAGATTGGTGGGATGGAAGAAGCAGTACCTCTCCAATGGGGGCAGGGTCACTCTAATTAAGAGTACCCTTTCTTGCCTCCCCATGTATTTCATATCTCTCTTTCAGATTCCTTCTTCTGTGGCTGAGAGAATTAAAAGATTGCAGCACAATTTTCTTCTTTTTTTTTTTTTTTGGCAGGGGGGGGGGGGGGGGGGGGAGTTTTTGTTGGGATCAAGTGTGTTGTCCGATTCGGAGTGGAGGTTTGGAAATTAGGAGATTGCTGCCTTTCAATAAGGCTCTTCTTGGGAAATGGCTTTGGAGGTTTGGGGTTGAGAGGAGTTGGCTTTGGAGGAGGGTTATTGCGATCAAATTTGGAGAGAGTATAGGAGGATGGAGTTCTCTTGAGGTGCGTGGTCCTAGAGGGGTGGGGGTGTGGTCTTTCATCTGAAAGGGGTGGGATGAGTTCAGCAAACATGTTCGTTTTGGGATTCAAGATGGGACGAGGATCAGATTTTGGGAGGATCTTTGGTGTGGAGAGTGTCCTCTTGCTCTTGCTTTCCCTTGGCTCTTCAGGATTGCTTCTCATAGACAGGCCATGGTGGTTGACTGTTATCTTCTTGATAACGGGAGACTGACTTGGGATGTTCAGTTTAGGAGGCATTTTCAGGATTGTGAGATTGAGGAGGTCACTTGCTTTTTGGATTTGTTGTAACGCTAGGTGATTACAGTTGGGGATTCGGATTGTTGGCTTTGGGATCCTAACTCTCAGGGCCGTTTCGAGGTTCGGTCCTTTTTCAGGTGTCTTTCGCTTGGCTTTGGAGGTCCTTTCCCTTGGAAGTCTATTCGGCGGTCTAAGGCTTCTCTCAAGGTGGCCTTCTTTGCTTGGACCTCCGTCTTGGGTAAGATTATAACTCAGGATAATTTGAGGAGAAGGAATTAGGTGGTGGTTAATCGATGTTATTTGTGTCGGAGCGATAAGGAGACTGTGGATCACCTTCTGTTACATTTGCAGCATGGCTAGGGATTGTTTGGATTTAATGCTTGGTTTGTTTGGGATCCCTTGGGTCATGCCTCGCTCCTCTAGAGGGTTGATTGAGGCTTGGAGAGGTTTCTCAGTGGGGGCTCTCATTCAGGATGCTTGGAGGGCTGCTCCTCTTTGTATTTGGTGGTGTATTTGGCTCGAGAGAAATCGGCGCTATTTCGATGGAAAGGAGAAGCCTTCTTCTGTGCTTAAGTTTTCTTTTATTTCCACCCTTTTTTGTTGGGTTTCAGGGAGTATAGAGGAGATTGTTATTTTTTTGGCCTCTATGAAGGCTTGAGGCGCTTCTTGGCCTTTTGTTTGTCTTTGGGTTTCGCTCCCCTTCTTTAAAAAATTTTACTCATAAAAAAAAAAGAATATATCAGTAATAGGATAAATAATTAAAAAAAAAAAAAAAGGACCGTGGAACCGAACCAAACCGAGCCGGTGTTTCATGGTTTGGTTTGGTTCTAGATTTTCTAAAACCGTTAGGAATGGTTTGGTTCCAAAAAACTCTCAAACCGGTCCAAACCGAACCGTGTGCACCCCTAGAAAATGGGGCTTTGTATCTTAATTTTCAAAATGTAATAGTTAACAGATATGTATGTATGTTAATAGAAGTGTTATTAGGCCAAGCTTGGGTTGATAAGGTGCTTGAGGATTCCAAACCTCAACCTAGCCTTATGCAGGCTTGGGATTTTTTTACCTTCCTGACACAATATCTAAATTTGAGATCCAAGCTTATGCATGATCAAATTAGGTCCCGCTATTTTGAGGTTAAACTTAAATCCGCTCAACTTGCTGCCTCATGACTAAGTGATAATTTTTTATATATATACTGGAATCCGGAAGAAAAATTAACAGTGAACTAGAGATATTTATAGACTATAAAGCATCACTGGCTTTTGAAGAAGTTCAAATCTTTATTCAAATGTGGGACTAAAAGTGAAGGAAACTACTTTTGGTGGGGATGAGCTAGCACATGGAGGACTCTAAGGTACCTTGGGTTATTTGACTTTTGTTTTGCAGAATTTCTCTTTATGGAAAATCAATTTTATTGAAGAGTCTTCTCCAGGATAGCATTATCACGATTTATTGCATATCTGCAAGAAAATAACAAGAACCTTATTGGATATCTGACTCACAGCTACCAAAAAATCTTAGGTTCCATATGGTATCAAATATATAATCGGATATAGATATATAAAGGTGGAATATGTATTGGTACAGATGAAAGATAAGGAAGGCCATATTTCAGGTGGTGAATTTTATTTTCATCCCTGAGTGTCCTTGAATTGGTATATTGCTTGAATGTGTGCCATTTACCTCTGTTTGTGTATGTTCTCATAGTAGTAACCTACATATATTTCACAAGATGATAGCTTTTCAGTATCCTGCATGCTCAGATGGCACAGTGAACTTGTTTGAACAGGTAACCAAAAGCTTACTCATTGGGTAATAGTGCTGCTAAGAATCCCATCGAGAGACGATGCTGTATTGTAATGTTTCTTATGCATGTATTTTATTAGGCAAATGAAGTAATTATTAACTTTTTCATGTTCATCATTAATAATTTTTGTATGTAAATTAGATCATGTACCTATAATTCTAACATTTATTCTCAGTCTGTATTTTTACCCATTTGATGGAAGATGAAGTCGCAGATGATGGAAGATGAAGTCGCAGATGAGCATTATTTGGCCATTCTAATAATTTAAAATGCCGCTTTGATTCTAGTCTTGCATATGTTTATAAGTTCCTTCTTGCTTTCAGGCCCCCAAGGACCACAACTGCAGAAAGTGCTAGAAAGACTTACTGGGCAACATACTGTCCCGAATGTTTTTATTGGTAAGAAATGCTGTTGCTATAAGTAATATTTCCTCTAACAAAATCTGAGCATACTTTGTTGAACATGGAATACTGTTCATTTGGATATATATTTTTTCTTTATATTCATTCTTCAAACCAACGTGGTGAATATTAGTTCTTTAATGAGTAAAGCATAAACTGATGACAAGAATAACTATTTACAGAAAGATGGCTGTTTCGATTAACTATTACACTAGGTCAATCTTAGGTAAATTGCCAGGGGAAAAAAAATTCTTCCGTTAAATTGCTCTTTTCAGGATATTAGCTGCAGTATTTTCGTCTGCTAGCTGTTACTTAAGAATAACCCTGATCTGACCCTCCCTAACAGGCCATGTTGTTTTCTACAACAGTCCCGTACCCATATGGTCTCTAGATTATGTGTCAATCTATGTGTGGGGACAAGACAATAACCCTGATCTGCAACCCTCCTCAACAGGCCATGTTGTTTTGTACAATGGTCCCATATGGACTCTAGAATATGTGTCAATCTATGTATGGGGACATGACTCCCATGTTACGCGTGGCACCTAGATAGCTTACACGCGATAGTCCATAACGTATGGATATCTCTATGAGATAGATGTATCCATATTGGATATCGATACTCCTCGAATACTCGAAGATGTTTGATACTTCCTCGATGTATACATGATTTGAAAATAACAATTTTAGTTTTGAATGTTTATCTTATAGAAAATTGATACTTCACTCCAGGGACTTGTTTATTACGTCTTGAACAGGTTTAGGGAAAACATAACAAGGATTTTAAGTATTTAGGCTTCCTTAAAAGTAGAAGAATTGAGATGTAATGATCATTTCATGTCTAATTTAGTCCAAGCATTATGTCCATGCAACACCAGTGGGCCACTAGCCCAATGGTATAACCCCTCCTCCCTCAAAGGGGAGGTGAGGGGCTCGAGTCCCATAGTGGGCAATTTGTGAAATTTGTGTGTGAGTGCTTACCTAACCGAAAAAAGAAAAAAAGTCCATGCAACATAACTATCAACTTGTTGAAATGTTCTTAATAACATAAATAATACATTAAATATGTTTTGATTTTATACATATCAAGTTATCAACATTAATAAAAATAGGGTGCGTGAGTTAGAAGTAGGAAAAACCACTAATAGTATTTAAAATGTTTGATTATTTTCTCTTTTTTCGGTCAATGAAGCTTATCTTCTTACTGACCAAAAACATTAATTCAATATACAATTATACATACATATTTATTGCCATGTCTTTGATTTGTATCCTATTTTTCAAGAACTTTTATATTGTCGTGTTTGTAATGTGCCGTATCCATATCTTGTATTTGTATCCATACTTCATAGATGGCACTATGATAGTGATCCTGATCCACGATTCCACATTGTGACTTGTCTTTATGCATCTCGAGCTTGATGGTCGAGGTGAAGGTAACATGAACAATGTAGTATCGCAAGGTCCTCTAGCTCTCAAATTTCATCTTATTATTTTCTTTTATTATTGATGAAATTTTATATTCAGATCACACTTGAATGGTTTGAAGTAAAGATTCTATGACATACTTGAGGTGGAAGCATTCAATGTGGGTGCTACTCATCTACTACGACCATTGTCTCTCGAGGAACTTAGATTTTTTTAATAGGGTGTGTTACCTTCAATGGGCTCGATTGCACACCTTTTTAGTTGTGTAATATGTCTCAGTGACGGCAGCCTCATTTTTATTATTTTTGTGGGTCTAGCTGCAGACCTTGCCATTTTCTCCATAAGCACACGATCTCCAATAAGGGCCTCAAACATATGACACTGGATCTCTCCTCAATAGGTAAGCCTCACAATTGGCATCTATATCACAAGGACCTACTCTGTACCAATAATACTCATTGCCTCTCCAATAAGCGTCTTTGAAGACTTAAAGAGTAAAGACAAGAGACATCTTGATGTAACTCGTACCGTCATATGTTGCCTGAGTTGGAAATAGGACCTTAGGGGGCACAACTTGATGTATGGCTTGTTGTCATGGCTTGTTTTGAGGCATGCAGATACGGCATATATTCCCACCTGGGGTTAAGTGGACACAATCCATTCGAATCCTATGGGCACACCTAACTTATTGAGGTCTACCACACCTCAGCTTGACTCAGAGAGAGAGAGAGAGAGAGAGGAGAGTGAGAGAGAGAGTTCAGTTGACCTTTGCTCTTATAACATGGCTACAGTTCTACACTATGATAGGCAGCGTGGACTATGAGAAATCACCACCCAAGGGACTGCCTATTAATACGTGGAAGTATCCTATTACGTCTTGGTGAAGCTTATAAAGGAAGCTTGTTGGCTCTACAGTTGAAGTTGTCTACGCTGTAGATGCAATGTCATCCATACCTCATGCCAATTGGATAGCCCAACGCATGTGGAGACATCCAATTTGTTTTAGATAGAGGTGAGTATAGTGACCTAAGAGGCCCGTAATGTGTGCATGAGCACTGATTTGTTCCTCTTAAACTATGAAGAGGTCCCTGCATTCTACACTTAGGGGGATCAGAGGCATCAGACTGGGATCTTGACTCATTCATACTCCTTCAGTTAGACCTTGGGATTACCTTATCCTCCTCACCTTACCTTACCTTGAGGTATAGAACCTGAGGAGTCTTTATTGACCTCGTCTTTCTCTCTCTCTTGCTGGTGAGTCGGTCTTGATTTCTACCCTAGTCCAACACACCTGGGATCTGTCCTGCTTATGTATGGTACCATCTCTTTCCTAATCATCTACTAGAATCCACAAAATGTAAAAATTCTGGCTCTTTTTCATTGCTTCTACCCTTCGATTTAAGGTATAGTTTAAACTTCTCTAGACTCAAACAGTTAATTCTGCTTGTCTTTAATCCGATGTACAGTGTAAAACCTTGATGTCTGATCAAGATTAAACATGTTTGAAGGTGAAGGATCCCGTAAAATAAGTTGTAAAAACTGATTTGGTAAGAGCAATCAGTGTTTCTTTCATTGTTTACTGTTTTTGTCAGATTGGCTAGCGGAAGAAAAGTTTCTGTGGGTTATCATTTGGTCAAACTTAGTGGAAGAAAAGAAATATAATTCTCTGTTGGGATTTAATTTGTGGGTTTAACATATTTGTGGGCTAGGAAGCATGGACACGGCTAAAAGGGCAAAGAATCCATGTTGCACACCAACACGCACTGGACACACCCCTACACATGTCAGACACGCCAAAAACGTGTGTTGTTTTTTTTTTTTTTTTTTTTTTTTTTTTTTAATATTCGAACACGGCACCGGGCTCCCCTCCGCCGCTTATTGCATTCTTGGATATTTTAAAGAAAGTCTTAGAAAGAAAGCTAGGTTTGAAGTGTAAATATGAAGAGTTGTTTAATAGCTTTCACTAATATGGTAGTCATTACATAATTACTTAAAAGTTGTTGTTTTATAAAACAATTTCATATTAAAATAATCAGATATTTAGGTTTATATGTTAGTTCAAAGGTCCAAAGTTCAAACTATTGCATGATCAACTTTGGCTCTCTCTCACCAACCAAGGTTCGCTGCTGGTGGATGGTTGCTCTCTGTCTCTCTCCTCTTCATCCTCTTTTCTTTCTTCTTCTTCACAAACCCTGAATCTTCTTTCTTCCTTTTTTTCCCCTTTCACAACAAAATTCCTTTTGTGTCTGTTTTTCCTTTCTCCTCTTGTTTCCATGAACTTTTTCTCTTCAATGGATTCTTACCTTTATTTTAACTAACCCTAATTCTTTTTCTAACAAAACCCTAATCCTCTTTGTTTTTTTTTTCTCTTTCTTAATATTCATTCTATCTTTCTTTCTTTTTCCCAGCAAAACAGAATTTTTTTTTTTCATTATTAGGTTGATAAAAAATAATATTACTCTTAGTTTCTTAAAGTACAACATCATATATATATATATTATTTATTATTTGCCGTGTCCTTGTTGTGTCATCCGTTTCCGCGTTTCTTCGTTTGCGGGCCTTGGTATAGGTAGTGGTCTTGGTGAATAAAGCTCTTGCTGTTAAGTGGCTTTGGATAACCTTTGATAGAAGACAGCCTTGACAATTCTTCCTTCCTCTACTTCCCTTGGTTCAGGCTCCTCCTTCTTCCCAAGTTGGTCCTTTTAGAACTTTTTACTTTCAGCTCAATCTTAGTGATTGTAAAGTAACTCATTTCCTTACTTAACAGTATAAAGTTTACATCTTTTTTGCCTTCATGAGCAGGGTTGGGTGAAGGATCCTATGACTCCATTTATTTGCAAGTTCTTTTTTCAAGTTTTATCTCACCATGACTTAATGTTCTAGTTTTGCATGCATAATTATTTCAGAAAATGAAATCACTGCCAAATTGTCAAGTTGCCATTTGGACCTTTTGCAAAACAGAAGAAAATATAGAGGCTTGTCCATGAAATCTTGTTTTAAATGCTAATCTCATGGCAAAAAAACTTTTTCTTCTGCACTGTCGCCCTCCTCTTTGTTTTTTGTGTTTTTGTTTTTGGGTTAACTCTTCTGGAGTTGTGGCTATTGGTTGGTTCAACAAAAGGAATTTCCTTCCTTCAAGTATTGTTACTTCTCTGGTTTGGTTTTTGGAAGGGGCATGGTGCATTTGAATGATGCTGTCTTAGCTGCTTATAGGTGGTTAAGTTTTAAAATTTTTTTTTTTCCTGAATGGGTTGATTTTATTTTATTTTATTGAAACAAATATATACAATGATGGTACATGTTCAAAATCATGAGATAGAGATAGAGAGAGAGAGAGTGCAGACTTTGTGTATTTCATATCATCCTCAACCCTAAGCCTACATAGGCTTATATAAAGATACAAGACTAACCTAATAACACAAAGGCCCTACCAACTATATGTAATTACATAATGACCCAACATAAGTGTATATATATATAAATATAAACATTCTAACACTCCCCCTCAAACTGGAGAATATATATTAAATAATCCTAGCTTGGAACAGATAGTCCTTAACCGGTTATGA